GGTCGTCATCAAAATCAAAGTAGTCTGGAGGAGAGAGCGGAGAGGAGCGGGCTGGGGAGGGTCTGTGGGGCTGCCTCTGCTGTGCCTGTGTCCCCAGGAGGAGCCGGCACATTTGGGAGGGCTGCTGGCACCGTGGGGAACCCTCAGGACAGGCACTGCCCATTGGCTGTGCCACAGCAGCAGCCCAGGGGGACCTGCAGGACCTGCTGTGGCCTGTCTCAACCCTGCTGGGGCTCCCCATAAAGCCCTGGGTCCTGCTTTGTTAAGAAAAGGTGGTAAGGTACCAGAAGCTCCCCTAGGAGGAGGCCGCTGGCAGAGCCAAGCCCTGGCTGTGAAGAATATTCCCAGCCAAGGGATTTGGAAGACGAGGGTCTCCCCGCTAGCTCCACAGCATCCCTCCTTGCTCCTGCGGTGCTTCTACGCTCCCCAGCCCACCATCTGTCTCCAGTCTGCCACATGCACACATCAAACCAGCACTATGCTCAAAGGCCTGGAGACAGCCGAGGTCAGCCCCAACGCCTGGAGCAGCTCCTGGGTTGGGCTCTGCTGGGACAGTGGGAGGTGGGCAAGGACACCCAGAAATCCCAGGGGGCAGGGGCTGGGGCAGTTGCTGTGGGATGTGTCCCCTTTCCTACCTGGGTCCCCCATGCCCGTGTCCTCCAAGGGAACCTTCTGGTTCCGTGGATCGCTCAGGAGGGTTTTCTCCAGGAGCTGTCGGACCTTCACAAAAGTCTGGGAAAGAGACGCTGTGTTCATAGCTGAAGGGGAGGCGGGTGTTACAACCAAAGGGGTGCCCAACCTCGATGTGCCCCTGGGAGGGAGGGAACACCCCACAGAGCCCAGGGCCACCTGGGCCTGAGCTGCTCCGTGGCTCTTCCCTCGAGCACCTCCATCCTCCAGCTGGGAGGATGGCTTGGGATGGGCCACCCGGGAAAGCCTGTGTGGGTCCCCAAAGACCGCAGCAGGGATGGAGCCCCCGCGCACCTCATCATCCTCGCTGAGGCTGGAGGGGGGCAGGTCAGCCACCCGCTGCACCAGGTACTGCAGCTTCTGCTCGCACTGCTGGAGCTTCTCGTCCACTCCCATGGCCTTGCCAGAGTGCTCCTGGAGCCAGAGAGGGAACAGCCTTGGTGGGCAGAACGAGCCCCTTGGGGTGATGGTTGCTGCACCAAGGGTCACCCCACGGTGCCGTTGCACCACCAAGCAGAGCCCGGGCTGTGCTCAGCCCAGCATTGTGCGGGTACCTGGCCAGGCACGGGGATGCCCCGCAGGCGGACGAAGAGGTTGTCAACTCCGTTCTCAAACTCCAGCAGCGTCTCCTGGCTCCTCAGCAGCTGGGCTCGCCTCTGCTCCAGCCGAGCCTCTTCCCACTGCAGCCTCGTCCTCAGCTCCTCCTCCAGCCCCCTGGAGCCAAGCACGCTCACATCCATACAACTGCACAGGGGTGCAGACACCCCAAACCCCTTGCAAAAGCTGCTGCCCAGCTTCTCCCCTGCCCCAAGCGCAGAGCAGAGATGCTGCCTGCACCTCAACCCCGTGCTGCTGCTGCTCCCACTTCCCATGCCAGGCAAGGAGCAAGGCTCCTCCTGCTGCCAGCGCAGGAGCTTTGCGTGCTCTGCCAGCACCAGAGCTGGGGCAGCACTCTGCTCAGAAACCCTCCCAGTGCAGGAGGGGTGGGCAGCTGCAGGGTGCCCAAGGAAGGGGTGCCCTCTTGGGACCCCTGCCATGCACATGTCCCCCTGCCCCCAAGGGTGATGGCCCCTTTGGCACGACTGTCCGGAGGCCAGCAGCACCTGGTTGTGGCTGGGGGCTGGCGAAACTTGAGCTCCTCCAGCTGCATCTCCAGCTCCTTCAGTGCCTTCTGCAGCTCCTGCTTCTCCTCCTTGCGCCCTGCGAGGTACTGCTCGAGTTCCGCCAGGGACTTCTGCTGTGCCAGGATCCTGATGGGGATGTCCTGGCCGGGGGAGAGCACAAGGACTCAGCCCAGGGCACTCCTGCAGGGTACAGGATCTGGGCCGTGGTCCTGGGGAGGTTTCTGCACCAGGATCCACAGGAACCACTGCAAGATCATGGCGTGGAGCAAAGCAGTTCCATCCCTGCCTGTACAAGAGGGGCCCTGGGGGGCTCTGGGGACAGAGGAGAGCAGAGAACCCTGCCATGGAACAGGGTGAGCAGACGAGGCTCAGCTCCCTGGGGCTGGAGCAGCCCCAGGTTCTACCAGAGATGGGTTTTCAACTCACCCAGAGGCGGGAGCACTGCACCGCAGCCTTGGCCTTCTCCAGCTTCTCCATCACGCAGGCCTCACGCTCCAGCTGGGACTTGGGGGCCTCCGGCTCGGCGGCTGCGGTGGAAAGGTTGTGGCAGGGAAGGATGCCTGCGGCTGTGCCTGCATCCCCCCCTGCACCCTGACAGGCACTCACCCACCGGTGGGTCCTCTGCGGGCAGGCCCAGGAAGTCCCTGGTGAGGTCACGCCTGGCTTGCTGCAAGGATGTTCATCGTCACCCCTGAGCTGCTGGCACCCTGGGGGAGCCGGCCCTGCAGCCCCTCACCCATGGCAGGCTGGGCACTGATGCCCGCCCTATGCCTGCAGCCCTGCCTGTGCCAGGTCCCCCCAGCTCACCCCTTTCAGAAGCCTTTCTTCTGCTTCCTTGCGCCAGCTTCTGTCCATGGGCTCCTTCTGAGCAGCCAGGGTGCGGAGCCTGAGCTCTCTCTCTGCAAGGAGCTGGGTTTTCGTCCTGGCCATGTGCTCCTGGAGCAGAGCAGAGCAGAAGAGAAGTGGCTCCCAAAGCTCCAATGGAGCTCTGTGAGCTTCTGAGCCTGGCACGGCCAGCATCAAAAATGCCACCCCCTACCCCGTGTAAACAGCCTGGGAAGGAAACCGAGCAAGGACAGCTAGAGAATGGAGAATGCCACCTTCCCCATGGCCACGGCTTCCGGCAGCTGTCCCCAACTCAGGGCAGCCAGGCCCAAGAGCCAGACACAGGAGGAGCTATGGAGGCATCTGGGTGCTGCGGGGAAGCCAAGCTCAGTCTTTATTTTTCTTGAAGGAAGACTCGGCAGCACGGACATCTGGTGCCATCTGTGTGCTCTGGGGAGCAGGAAAGCACCCTGAGGTGCCCTGGACCATCTCACCTTGGTTACACGAGCAGCTCGGAGCCCATCCAAGGCCATGAGCTCCATGTCTTCCACCTCCCCATGCTGCAGCTCGGCCATCTCACTCAGGAGGTCCAGGTGCAGAGGCAGGTGGGCCAGCTCCTGGGACACAGGGAGCCACAGCCCACTGAGTCCCAGGGGTGCCCTGTGCTGGGACAGAAGATGGAGGGGAGCAGGAGGACCTCCCGCAGGAGGGTGTCCCACCAGCACAGCCCCTTGGGCACTTCAGTGCCTTTGCAGGGGGAGCGGGTGAGACAACGGCACGGTGAGGATGAGCTCACCTTCCTCAGGGCATCCCGCACCACCACGTACAGGGCAGCCACCTTCTGCCCAGCGTGGATTTTTGTGTGCATCTTGTCTATGCTGTTCTGCAGCGCACGAATCACCTGGGGCAGAGATGGTTGGAGACAAGGGGTGAGCCCATGGACTGAGACCAGTGCCCAGCCAGGGGGGCAGGGCTGGCTGAAACCCCCCACGGGTGCTGCCACCCTAGGAAGGGGCTCTGGGACCTGTACCTGGTGCTGCTTGTCAGCCACCCGGACATCCTGCAGCTGCTGCAGCCGCCTCTGCAGCTGCTCCTTGGCCCGGCTCCGCTGCTCCATCTGGTACAGCAGCATGTTGCATTTGTTCACCCTGTCATAGACTTCAGCCCGGAGCTTCTCCTGGGCCACCTGGATGGGAGAGGTAGAGCTGGGGATGCTGGGACCTGGTCACTCCCTGGCAGGACAGGAGCTCTGCTGGGGCAAAGGACCTGCTCAGGGAGCTAATGGAGGACACTGATGGGTCCTGCAGTGCAAAGGGTCCCACGGGAGCACTCCTGAACACCCCGTGTCTCACTGCACCAGCCCTGGGGGCTGTCCTGGTGCTGGCACCAGGTCCCTGTTCCCTACAACCGGTCCTTCTGAGCATCCCCTCAACCCCAGCCCACTGCCAGCAGCCTGGGCCCGCTGGACTCTGCTCTTACCTCCAAGGTCTTACTGGCCAAAGCAATGCCCAAGGGCTGCTCCGCTCCACAAGCCTCAGAGATGGTGAGCTCGTGCTGTGGGCAGAAGAAGGGCAGAGAACACATCAATGCCAGCCTGGGGATGGTCCCAGCCTCCTGCTGCCCTGCACTTCCTGCTCCTGGAGAGGACCAGTGGAGAAGCTAGCTCTGCAGGTCCAGCAGAGTCAACGGACACAGCAAATGGGACCTGCTGGTACCTTGCGGACAAGGCCCAGGGCATGGATATCCTCCTGCACCGCCTCTCGCAGCTGGGGCAGCAGCTCTCGGTTCTCATTGAACTTTCCTTCCTCTGACTTGCTGTAAAACTTCCTTGCTTGCCCTGCAGGACATTGAGAAGCTGTTGGTACCATGCAGGATGATGCGGGGACCAAAAGCCCCCTACTTGGCCCACTCCGTAATGCAAAGCCAACGGGGCAGCACCTTGCAAGGCTATGCTGGCACGCAGCTCACGGATGCGCTTGCTGAGCTTTGGCTTCTGGCCCAGCATGATGCCGGTGCTCCTGCCTCGCCTCTCCAGCCCCACTGTGCACGCAGCAGCCACTGCAGTTCTGCTGCCTGCTGCAACCCTCACAGAGCTGTGGCCATAGGAGCTGAGCAACCTATGACGTCATAATTGTCCTCGCAGGGCTGTAAGCACAACATGGAGCTGAGCTCCCTATGCCCTGGGAACTGTTGCCGGGCTGTAACCGCAGCAACGGAGCAAGAGCAGCCTGTTGCTGCCTAGACATGTCCCTTTGGAAAGGTCAGGTCATTAGTCAGGAAACAGCCGCACAGGGAGCTACGCTCTTGTTGACATGGGCAAGAACCAGGCACTCTCAATACTGATATCTATTTTGATGCTCACCAGATGCTCTTGCTCACTTACAAAGGGGACAAGAAATGCAAGCACATACAGTTGTTTGTTGGTCAATACCATCAAGCTCCTGCTACTAGAGAGTTGCAGAAAAAGACTTTGAAGGAAATAGCCTTCCCAGCACCAAGCTTGTACATCAGCTGAGATCAACTTTCTGTAATGCGGGATCTTTAACCTGCAGCCATCCTGTTGTGCTAAGGGGGTTGAACATTGAAAACAAAGAAATAGAGGGTTGTCAAATACCCTCTGAGGCTCTTACTCAGCATCTCCTTTGCAGATTTATACATGGCATGTTAGTGCTAATAGCCAGTGACAAGCTAAATACCAACACGGACATCTCCAGTGCTTCATCAAGCCTGCATGAAGAGATGGCCATTTGAAAGACAAGCTGGGAAGGGTTTGTATACCCAAGGAATCTCCCCAGTCTGGCCATGCATGTAGAGATCTCCACATTGAGGCCACGTCCATGTGCCAAACACAGGAATTATGCCCCTAAACTTTCCTAGGGAAGATTTAAACACAGAGATTACCCTGGGGGCAAGAGAAAGCATTTTAAATTGGATAAAGCGGTTCATGAATCTCCATTTCACTGTCCCTCAGCAAAACTCAGCCTCGGCAACAACAGGGCCTTCCGAAGTGATACTGAAGACATTTCACCCAACCTTGCACAGCCAAGAGCCCCCAGACTGCTGCAGCAGTGAGCTTCCAAGAGGAAGCCTCTGACTAAGGACCTAGCTCCGCAGGCCCTCTGCACCTGACAAGTTGTCATGGTTTAAGCCCAGCCAGTAATTCAGTCCCACGCAGCCCTTCGCTCCTTCCCCCCGCTCCTGGAGGGATAGGGCGGAGAATCGGAAGAATGTAACTCCCACGGGTTGGGATAAGAGCAGTCCAGCAACTGAGGTACAACACAAACCAGTGCTGCTGCCACCAATGATAATAATGGTAAGGGAAATAACAAGGGAAGAGAATACGATACCACCTGCTGAAATGAGCCCGACCGAGAAGAGAGTGCCCTTCCGGGTAACTCCCCGTCACCTCCCTGGGCAGGACGTGCTGGGGTATGGAATTCCTCTTTGGTCAGTTTGGGTCAGGTGTCCTGGCCCTGCTTCCTCCCAGCCTCCCTCCCTCCCTAGCAGAGCATGAGACCCACAGAGTCCTTGATCAGAGCCCTGCGGTACTCTCAGCCACAGAAGCACAACACTGCTGAGTACATACCCATGTCGTGCTCCAGGATGTCCAAGGTATTCTGGTTCGGATCGCTTACCAGTGCCATACCCATAGCACGTCCTTCTAAGCTCCTGGAAACATGTGGATTTTCTGCATCTGGGAGCTATTATGCTATTTTAGTTTCTCAGGCAGAACAGATAAGATAGATCAAATTTCTACAAGTACAACTTGTGTGGAGACAGTGCTCTCACAGGAGAATGGATATTTGGTACATGAAATCTGAATAATCCCAAAAGATACAGCAAGGCCATGAGAGGCCCGAGGAAGCTTAAGCAAGCAAGATAGAAGGAGAAGCTGGAATTCACTGAGTTATGAGAACTGTGGGCTGTTGGCAAGCTTTGGAGGTCAAGTTCTCACACCTGTGCTTAACCAATTACATGTTAGTCACTAAGGGTCTTCAAGACAAGTTGAGAAAAGGGGGGGGGGGCCCAAAATTACAAGATGGGATATAGAAATCTTTAGAAGTAGCTTTAAGTAATGCTAATAGAGAGAGTGCAGCTAGAGAACATAGTGAGAATTCTCACAAGATAAATCGTTATGGTTGACACAGCTTTAAGAAAAAACAGCCTAGAAAAACAGGACCCAGGGATAAGGGGTATCTGGGAACTGCAGGTGTCCAGGATGGGCTACAGTTAAACTAACTGATGAGTAGGAGGATGGGAGGATTATTATGTCTCTGGTGCTAACGAACCAATTAAACTGGTATGAGCATCTACTGCGCGTGCTTCAAAGGCTGCCAGAAGTGATGAAGATTGTTGGAAGAAGTAAGCAACCCTCAGAGGCCAGCACCACAATTCTGTATGCATGTGGGGAACTCTCTGGAAAATGATGTGGGGGTGTCTTGCAGAAAAGGTTTTGGATTTTACTGGTATTTGATTTATTTTATGGCTTGTTATATTAAGGATTTTGTTCTTGTGATTTTGGTATCAGTGACAGACTGTTATAACTAAGCAGGGGGCATCTTGTGGTTTGGGTCCTACAAGACACAGGGGGGTGTCTTGTGGAAATGGTTTTGGGTCCAGTGTGCTATCAACAGCCCATAAGAGATTTGATTCAGTGATGCCGTCAGTGTGGGTCCCTCAATAGGTTAGTAGAATCACCCTCCCATAGAGCTGGCTGTCCAGTATGGTTCCCACAGTGGGACGCAGACAGGCTGGTCGGACACAAGGGTCTCATCCTTCTTGGGACACTGACAGGCTGGTCAACTATAAAGGGTTCAAGGAAACCTGCCTACTAATGTTATTCATCTTATTTTGTGGCTTGTTACAGTAATGATTTTGGTCTTGTGATGTTGGTACTGGTGACAGTATGTTGTAACTGTGTTATTAACTGTTGTTTGTTTGGTTGAATTTAAGTCTTTGTCTCAAGTGTTACAGTTGATGTTGTTTTGAGGGGGCAAGGAAAATGGGATGAAGTAATGTATGCAGATATGTTTTTCACTTTAAGAAATTACCCAGAGTGACAGGCTGAATGCAAAATTAATATAGCTCTGCCAGATTCCTTAATTTTGGCTTTGGAAAAGGACAGGGAAAAACTGTAAGTTAAGCTGGAGATGCTCACCTTGTGATATTGGGGAAGGATGTTTAAAGTTAAAAAACAGTAATCAGGAAGATAGGGTGGAAAATCACGTACCACAGGTGCCTCAGAGAGGAGCACCCTCTGCATCTGTCCTATCTGATATTGATAAGGAGGAAGAGATTGCTGTCACTGGCAACCAGCGGCACATCCACCTTCAGAGTTAAGAAGGGGTTAAACCAGAAGCGCTGTTGCAGAGGCAGGCACCTGCAGGCCCTGCAGAGCAGGGGGAGCCGCTGTGAGGAAAAGGGGAAAAAAAGGGAAAACCAAGGGGGAATGGGGGGGAGCTCGAGCAGCTCCAGTGTTTGAGCATGGGAGGAGGGATGTTGGGTGGAGGTGGGGGAGTGGGGTCCTCTTCTGTGGGACCAGATCGGTGTGTGTGCTATGGGGGGATTGGACGCTGGAAGTGAGGCTGCCCTGTGGGGGGGGGGGGCAGTGCCATGGGGTGGCTCCGGTGACTGAACTAGAACTGAACTGGAAGTAAACTGATGGGGACGTGGGGAATCTACCCTAGCAGATCCACCGGTTACATTAAAACTAGGGACTAGAGGAAATAAAGTGGAATTTTAGTAGATACAGGAGCAACTTATTCGGTGTTAAATCAGAGAGAAAAGAATTATACATACCTACACTGCTCTATCTCACATATATACCCCCTATCGATGGTATATACTTACCTACACTGCTCTATCCCACATATATACCCCCTCTCTATGGTATATACATAACTACACTGCTCTATCCCACATATATACCCCCCTCTCTATGGTATATACATACCTACACTGCTCTATTCCACATACATAGCCACCTCTCTGTGGTATATACATACCTACACTGCTATAGCCCACATATATACCCCCGTCTCTATGGTATATACATACCTACAGTGCTCTATCCCACATATATGCCCCCCTCTCTATGGTATATACATACCTACAGTGCTCTATCAAACATATATAGCCACCTCTCTGTGGTATATACATACCTACACTGCTATAGCCCACATATATACCCCCGTCCTTATGGTATATACATACCTACACTACTATACCCACATATATACCCACCTCTCTATGGTATATACATACCTACACTGCTCTATACCACGTACATAGCCACCTCTCTATATTATATACATACTTACACTGCTCTATCTCACATATATATCTCCTATCGATGGTATATACTTACCTACACTGCTCTATCCCACATATATACCCATCTCTCTATGGTATATACATACCTACACTGCTATAGCCCACATATGGGCCCACCTCTCTATGGTATATACATAACTAAACTGCTCTATCCCACATATATACCCACCTCTCTATGCTATATACATACCTACACTGCTATAGCCCAAATATATACCCACCTCTCTATGCTATATACATACCTACACTGCTCTATCCCACATATATACCCACCTCTCTATGGTATATACATACCTACACTGCTCTATCCCACATATATACCCACCTCTCTATGCTATATACATACCTACACTGCTCTATTCCACATATATACCCACCTCTCTATGGTATATACATACCTACACTGCTCTATCCCGCATATATACCTATCTCTCAATGGTACGTACATACCTACACTGCTCTCTGCCACATATATACCCACCTCTCTATGGTATATACATACCTACACTGCTCTATCCCACATATATACTCACCTCTCTATGGTATACACATACCTACACTGCTATAGCCCACATATATACCCACCTCTCTATGGTATATACATACCTACACTGCTATATCACGCATATATGCCTCCCTATCTATGGTATATACATCCCTACACTGCTCTAGCCCACATATATACCCCCGTCTCTATGGTATATACATACCTACACTGCTATAGCCCACATATATACCCCCCTCTCTATGGTATATACATACC